GTTATTTTATGTGACTGAATGTATATATGTCTCTCTCTCATTCTCTAGTTTCCTATTTCTCTCACTTTTCGTATTTGTGTCTCACTTTTTCTTCGTATTTTTCATTTCTCTCTCCTCTTTCTCTCTATTCTCCTATCCCCGTCTCTCTCTCTCTCTCTCTGTCATTTCCCATCTCTTCCTTTCTCGCTTTCCCCCCCTTCACTTTTTCGCTATCCTATCACACTTCAGCTTATTACTTACCATCATTACTAACTACTATTACTTGCTATTCCTGGTAGGTTATTGCTTCTAGTAATTTGTGTTTAGAAACTTTATTAATAATGGTTTGGTGTGTCTCTCAATGGCTGCCCCTCACTCGTTCACTCCGGGTATTATCACGTCCTTCTGTCTGTCATGGTTCCTGGTACACTGTTCTGGGAAATACATCTGTTTCTGCTCCACACACACAATATATTATCTATCTATCTATCTATCTATCTATCTATCTATCTATCTATCTATCTATCTATCTATTTATCTATCTATCTATCTATCTATCTATCTATCTATCTATCTATCTATCTATTTATTTATCTATCTATCTATCTATCTATCTATCTATCTATCTATCTAGTTCAACCAGTCCCAAGGGTAGTATCGTACTCTAGGGGTTAAGTCATCGTACTCAAGGGGATAAGTCATCGTACTCTAGGGGACAAGTCATCGTACTCTAGGGGTTAAGTCATCGTATTCAAGGGGTTAAGTCATTGTACTCAAGGGGTTAAGATAATTTATTCACCTAGTTAATTCATAGTACTCAGTAGGTTAGTCACTATTCTCAGGGACTTAATATAGTACTCACAGTGACGTACTCAACAGCAACAACAGTAACAGACACACACACACACACACACACACACACACACACACACACACACACACACACACACACATCTTGTCTCCCGTGATAGAATCTGGGCAGGTGATTCGGTCTCCCTCAGCCTCACTTAAGACCCAAATGGAGGAAGAGAAATTTCAATCGTGGTAGAAAGTAGGTCAATTGCATCCGGCCTTCGTTCTAGGACAGAGACTGCATTGAGGCTTGATGGATCACTCAATGCAGTTGATGAGATTAGATTACTTGGTGATTCTTACCATTTTCTCTTTCTCTCGCTTTCTTCTTCTTCTTCTTCTTCTTCTTCTTCTTCTTCTTCTTCTTCTTCTTCTTCTTTTCTTCTTCTTTATCTTATTGTTCTTTTCTTCTCTCTCTCTCTCTCTCTCTCTCTCTCTCTCTCTCTCTCTCTCTCTCTCTCTAGCCATTAGCTGATACGTCCTTCTCTCGGGCGGCTGAACACACTCACATCCCTGCCGTGAGTGGGGGGAGAGTGGGGGAGAGTGAGGGAGAGTGGGGGAGAGTGAGGGAGAGTGAGGGAGAGTGAGGGAGAGTGTTGGAAAGTAAGAGGGTAGCGGGGAGGACTTACACAGAGAGAGAGGCACCTAATTTGCATATCGTTTTTCTTCGTAATGATGAATCTCATATCTTTAACTTCGCATGATTCTTTGGGTATGATTCTTTGGGTATGATTCTTTGGGTATGATTCTTGTTATTAGGGAAGAACGTAACCCATGGCTTTTATCCCTTTTCACTATACGACACACTTAAATCCACCTTCTAAACGCACTCTAATACACCTTCTAAACGCACTCTAATCCATAATTTTAACACACTTACTCCACCTACTGAGTACACTTATTATATACTCCAAATGCACTCAATCGAAACCCTTGAACGCACTTAGTCCATATTAGATGTATCCAATTCACGCACTTAATCCACCTAGAGTGTGTTTTTCATGTCCTGGGAGACCTTGAGTAATTCATTATTCAGAAAAAGACACAAAACGGATTAAATGAAGTTAACTTAATCCGGGTTTGTATAATTTACCCCCAAATTAATCTGGGTTTATGGTTTATAATCCTTCTATATCGCTATGATGATGAGTGGGTGAATTTAAGTGTATATACAGACTGATCCTACATTCATTATCATTCATTTATTTTCATTGTTGCCAGAAATTGCCGTCTGTTACTCCATTCATTATCATTCATCTATAATCATTGCCACGAGAGGTGTATTCTTCTGTGACGCGAAATATATTTAAGGAAATATTTCTACTATAGGAATCGATTTTTTATTTCCATGGATCACTCAAGTCTGCTAAAGGATCACAAATTAACACCATCACATTCTATTCATTAGTGTATGGGGGGAGGGAGATTGAAACAGTGTTGTATTGTCCATCGTGTGAGTAGATCCTAGACCATGGGTTAGTTAAGACCTCCTCCTCCCCTGTCTTAAGGGAACGGGACGCTACACAGAGTTCTCCTGTGTGATACCGTCTACACTGACTGTCCATAACACGAGACTATCTTTTGTTATTCCTCGTGGAAAGATCATGTGAGGAATCCTGGTTGTAACAAGAGCGATCCAGGCTGGCAGTGGATGTATCACTTGAGGAATTAAGGCTCTGTTAAGTCAAACCCATAGTAGAGTAATCAAATGTGTGTTCCCAAGTTGAAAATTACGTCTTTAGAAGATTAGTTTCATTACAGCGTGAATGTGAGTGACTCATATATCCATGCAAATTGTAAATCATTGTATGGAAGCTTACCAAATAAATTTAAGTTCAATTATCTGCCCGTATCTGTATTTTTATAACTAAAGGTAATGACTGATTGGTTATGACAGAGTATAACCAATAACTTAGATGGATGTTGGAAATTAATGGAATTCATTAGATCATCATTTATCAAGTATAAATCATGGAATGTCGGGTGGTGGAGTGAATTTCTAGGTAGATACACCATAATCTCCTGTATAAGTAACCAGTGTGAAGGTATCGAACTCTACGGTAAAAACATTAAGAAACACATATACTAACATCCATCCCCATAACTCCATGATATTAACAATCTCAACGAAAGAAAATGTTGATAAATATTAAGAATTTAACTTAATACAGTTGGTCTATTTATCCAAGGAATTAACTTAATCGTATACAAGTAATGTAATATTCAAGTTTGGCAACGATAGGAGGAGGAGCAGGAGGAGAGGGGTGGGGGACTTCTCCAGATGTCACGAGAGAACAGGGGGGCTAATTAGCTCTAGAGTCCTCAGGTACGACGAGAGTCCCGGTGCTGAGAGGCGAGCAAGACGTCCTTCTGCAGGGTCGAGGGCTTCTTAGGGCGGATTATTATGCATGGGCTTATGTGCTACGTGTAGGATGAGGCGAGAGCTGAGGCTTAGACTGTGGTAGACTGTGGTAGACTGTAGGAGGTAATACTTGGTTCGTTTCTGGTAGGTAATACTTGGTTCTGGTAGGTAATATTTTATAATCTACAGTAGTATTTATTTCAGAATGTTTAATGGTGACAAGTGATGTTCTTTCTCTACCTTCTCCTCTCCTACCTTGTCTTACACTACTCTCTCCCTCCCTCCCTCCTTCCCTCCCTACTTTTCTCCTTTCCTCCCTTTCTCCCATTCTCCCTTTTTCCCTTTCTCCCTCCCCATCACTTTTCAAAACCCCTTTCGTCCTTCCTTCTTTTCCTTATTCCCTTCCATTTCCCATCATCTCGCTTTCTTTCCTTTCCTTTCTCTTGCCCTGTCACTCACTATACTACCTCCTTCATTCCCTCCCTTCCACTCTCCATCCCCTCTCCTCTCACCTCTGACCTCTCACTCATTACAATCTGTGGCTCCACCTGTAAGCCGTCAGTGGTCAACGTCTGAAATATTAAGTGGTTTAACCTCAATGGACTCTGGGTATCGTTAATTAATTTAAGGTCACATTTGATCAAGGTGATGGAAAAAAAAAGAGATATTTTTCCTGTTTGTTTATTTACTTTTGTTTGGTGGATGTCTCTTGTTTTTTTTTTCCTCCTGGTCTTTTTTCTTTATTGTGTTAGAGGAATTTGTTTTTGTTTTTATACGTTGTCTTTTGTGTGAGTTTTTTTTTGTTATTAAGGATTTTTGTGTTTGTTTTCAGATTGTCATTTATTTAAGGCTTATTAATATTAAAGTAAACTTGAAAACACACACACACATACACACACTACACACAGAAGATAAATACACACACACACACACACACACACACACACACACACACACTCTATTATACATCAGACGACCGTGTATAATGCAACAGACATACATACACATAGCACCTCACCCTTCCTTACCGCCACAGATAATAGGTTCTTGATGAGTCACTTTGAATAGGGAATGGGTCGTGCGTCAGCCTTTATGGGGTAGCTTATTGTCAGCTGTTGTAGGTAAGGCACGTCTCCTGTCCTCTCCGTTTGGCTCTTTAAAATGGTGTGTGTTTGTGTGTGTGTGTGTGTGTGTGTGTGTGTGTGTGTGTGTGTGTGTGTGTATGGTTGGTGTTGTGAATGTGATAAGATATTCAGGTTCTATGTTTTTTAATTAGACCAAATGCTCCGGTTTTGCGTGTAAACATGATACTATTTTCACGTTTTAGATGTAAACAACAAAATATTCCGGTTTTATGTTTACAAGCTACAAGATGTCCCAGTTTTGTTTACAGTAAGATCATCTGGGTCATGTGATCTCAGCAACCAGGTACACGTCCCTCACACCTGTTTGGGGCATCACCTTTATCGCCCTCAGGTAGGTCCTCAGGTGAGCTGTTTACACCTTGTTATAATTTTTTCTTTTTAATTAAGTATTTTAAATTATTTCTTTCAAGTATAACTGTGACGTCACTTGTTGATGGTAGTATATTCTTTCACTGTATATATTTGCCCAACTCTCTCTCTCTCTCTCTCTCTCTAGCTCTCTCTCTCTCTCTCTCTCTCTTCCATTTCCTATCAAACTTGGTGTCAAATGTAATAAGGTAGGTTGACCCCCCCCCCCTCTCTCTCTCCTTCACCGCTTAGAACTGCCCCTTTAGCGTCAGAACCACTTGTGACGTTTTATTTTGGAATTGAAAGAAGGTTGGTGCTTTTTAGGGGGAAGTTTATTGCACAGGTGTTATTGATGTTGGCCGTCCAGAGATGAAGCCGGGGCACAAACTTAAAGGGACTCTTGATAGTGAGATGAGTCGTCAGTCATGAGTACATTTTGATCATGGTGCAGCATCCTTCACCCATCAGTAAAGTTAAATGGATATAATAGATAGCTAAAAAATAAACCATACACAGACCCTCAAAGATAAATGATAAAAAAAAATGTGAATTCACGAAGAGTCCTCAGCTATGTAGTACTTAAGGTCTCTTGACTAGACTATCAAAACACCATGTTGCTTTATTTCAATTCATGTTATTGTTGTTTATTCATTATCTATGTATTATCTATTATATGGTAATTATCATCTTTATTAAAATATTCTTTTAACTTTAAATTAATAAAATGTGGTTCCATCGTAAGGATATAGATTAAAATATTGAGAAAATAATTCAGGAAAAATGTATTGAGTAGAAGAGACATTGTAGGAGGGGGGACTCCTCCTACGATACAGTACAGCACAACACAGACAGGCTAGGGAGATCGTCCACAACCACCAACCAACATAAACAGTCATGACCAACGTTGACACCTCCGACACACAACACACATAAAGCCTTGGGGAATATTCTTGTAATAATAATAATAATAATAGTAATAATACTCTCAACATCCTTATATATTATACAGACAATAGTGAATGAAACTTTCCAAACACTTATTTTATTATTATTTTTTGTTGTTGTTTCTCTTTTAGGTTTTACAACTTATTCCACTTCTTCTTCTTCTTCTTTATTAATCAGTTTCATTTTGTAAACTAATAACAAGGACAGTCTTACTAAAATCGTGGACATAAAGAACACTTGATAACAATGTAAATGATGTAATCCAAAAGGAATAGTATATATATAAATAATTATATATTGTCATTTATGATTATATTTCCTCAAACTCATATTTTCCTATTAGCTAATCAAATCATATATTTTTTTTATTAGCTAATCAAGTCCTATTTCTATTAGGTAATTAGAGATTAGACTGATGACAATAGCTCCTTCTTCTTGGCGAACAGTGCCTTCACAGTCGCGTATGTCTTCTCCAGCTCTTCCAAGTTGGGGTCAATCTGGGAGGAAACGTCAGTCACCTTGATGTTGAGGTCGTCTGTGATCTTCTTCAGGTCTTCCCAGGTAGTGACGAGGACCTGAATCTGTGGAAGGGAGAGTGAGAGGTTGTTTATGTCTGTTTTGGTAGATGGTTTGTTGTTCTTTCTCTCTCTTATCTTACCTTTCCTTCTTCTCTTTCTTCCTTCCTTCCTTCTTCCCCTTTACCAAGCCTAGTCATCTTCTTCTCTCTCTCTCTCTCTCTTCACATATCACTTCCCTATAATATTCTGAGAGTGTCATTTTTTTTCTTCTTCCTCCTCATTCTTCTACTTCCTCCTCCTCTTCTCTCAGCCTTACTTTCTTTTTATTGCTCGCTCTCTATCTTTCACTTTTCCTCCCTCTCACTCACCTACTCAGCCACCTCCCCTCCCACATTCACCCTTTCTCTTTTGCTCATCAACCTCTCCATCACTCTCCTCTCCCACTTTCTCTGTACCTTATCTCTCACCCTTCTTCTCTCTAGTTTGTCCCTCATCAACTTCTCCTTCACTCCCCTTTCCTTTCTCTCACCCACAATCTCCCCCTTGCTATCTCTCTCACTAACCTTCTCCACCCTATCCATGGAGGTCTTCTTGACACTCTCCCAGCGTCCAGTTAGGGCCTCTACCTCGTTCTCGGTGCTGCTAGCCTTCTCCATGGCGGCGCGAGCCTTGCCTGCTACCTCCAGCTTCTCCTTCTCCTGGCCACATTCACCCTCGAATTCCTGAGAAAGGTAAACAAACATCTTAGTTCCTACTGGTGGTATATAATAGTAATGTTATTAATACTAGTACTAATGCTACTGCTAATAATGATGATGTTAATAATTATAGAATTACTACTACGTTTACTACTGATAATAATGATTATAAAAATTACTATAATGATAATAGTAATGTAATAATCATAATAATGTCAACAATAAGAATAAAAATATTGATAATAACAATGAGAGAGAGAGAGAGAGAGGGAGAGATTCACCTTGCATGACTCCAATAGAGCCAGGGCGTCTTCAAGGGTGCCGGGCTTGGGGAGAGCTTCCTTGGCCTTGGTCTCAGCGGCCTCCATCCAAGGCTTGAACTCCTTGACGACACACAGGTAGTCGGCGTAGAACCTCTGGTCCTGTGAGATAGAACCAGCCTCCTTCTCCACCTCCTCCAGCACCTCCGTCACGAACTGCTTGGTATCGTTCCAGGTGTTCATGGTAGTCTTGGCGGTTTCAGACTTTTCAAGATCCTCCTCTGTTGAACATTGATGATATGAGTTAGTACAATGTATCGTGTAGTCGTGGTTGTGTGTTCGTAGGTGTTGTGTTCGTGCACGTGTGGTAGCTATGATGGCAGAGACGTTCTTCGTAGTTACAGGAAGATCATAAAGTTTGTCTACAGTTACTTCATCTTTATATAAATTACAAACTTGTTCCTTATTCACTTTGTATTTTATTCACACTATGACATAATCAGTTGATATATGAATGTCATTGTTACACAACCACAGCTATAAGTAAGACGTCAGTAAAATAAAAATAAATAAATGAGTTAATTTGTTATTGAAGAAACTCGAAAAGAACAAAATATAACGAGAGAACTGAAGACCAGAACATAAGAATGAAGATTAAAGACTGTGAAGAACTATGTAGTCTTTTATATGATTATAGGAAATAAATAATAATGATAATAATAATAATAGTGATAATAATAACAATTGTAATGAGTATAATAATAATAATAATAATAATAATAATAATAACAAAAACTTTTAACTTGTCAATTTGCAATAAGCCGAGTAGAAGTATATCAAATAATGGCTGCAGAAACGAAACGAAGATGTTTTTAGAAATAGCGAGTCGCGGGTTACTGAGTGAGGCGGCAGTGTGAGGTGAGTTCAACCTGTTCTCTTAACTTACTGTTGCGTCCTGCCAGGGTTCTTGGTGGTGATGGTGGGTGTTGGGACCTCTCACGGGTACTACTGGGGTGATGATCATGATGGGTCAGGTTGAGATCAGGTTGGGTTCAGGCTGGGTCAGTTTAAGGTCAGGTTGGGTCACAAGTAAGAGGAGGAGGAATGGAGAGTATTGATTTTCTTGCTGTTGGTTTTGGGGGAAGAAATAAATTAGACCCAACTTGACTACAATAAAGACACTTGGGTTAAATATTTTGCAGAGACCCATTGATTGGCATCTGACGGTGTATACATACAGGCAATATCAAATAAACCTTAATATATATTTCGTGATATTTATAATGTTTTAATTGGTTGGCCCTGACATTAAGGTGACAGGTGACAAAACATTACCTTACTACAATAACAAGGTGTGATCCAGATATATTGTGACAACGTAAAGAAATGAATTAGTACTTAAGACAAAGGAAACTTTATTTTAGATCTGACTAAACTGATGATGGTAGTAACGTAACCTAACGTAACCTACCGTAACCTAACGTAACCTAACGTAACTTAACCTAACCGAAACTGATTATTGTAGTAAATATAAACATACAACTGTGAAAGTAACCCACAGGTAACCCACAGGTAATATACCCCATCCTAAACATGCACTCAAGGTAAACAAAGTCACTCTAACTTAACCTAACCCTGGCTTCAAATTGTGAAAGAAAACTAATCAGATCTAACTTTAATCCAACCAAAATACAACTAGTTAGTCTCTACATTTGACTTAATATTTACCTCCAGGGTGGATTTTATACCAATGGCTCTCCTATTTTTTTTTGGGGGGGGGTTATCGACACCCTGAAAGTTCCAAAAAGAGAAAGATAAGAGAAACCATTGAGGAAAGTGAACCCCTAATGAAAATCTTTGTTTTAGAATTTACCTGTTAGCAGGGCCTTGAAGTCGTTGTTGAGGGGTTCAATCTGGGGCGCCCTCTCATGGGCCTGCTCCTGAAGGATAAGAATCTCCTTGACACGGTCTTCAGGGCTCAGCTCGGGGTCAGTGGTGATCTCGTTGAGCTTGGAGTTGGTTGGGGAGGCCCAGTCCTGCAGCTGCTTGGCGTGGTTCACTGCCTTGGTCAAGCTCTCGTTGTACTCAAATAGTTTGTTGAGTTTCACGTTACACTTCTCGATCACGGCTCTCTTCTCCTCCACCTCACTGACCTGTGGGAGTGAGTTGGTGAGTGAGTGAGTGAGTTGGAGATTGACTGAACGAGTGAGTAAGTGACTTGTTATTGGCGTAACAAGTGAATCAGTGAACGAGTGAGTAGAAAGATTGGAAAAAAAGACAAGAAAAGAGAGAAAGAGAGAGAGAGAGAGAGAGAGAGAGAGAGAGAGAGATCTAACCCACCTCCTTATCCAGGAAATCCTTCTTGTCGTCACCAGCCAACACAATGATGGTTGTATAACACTTCTTAATATTCTCAAACATTTCATCAGCTAGTTTCTTCTGTTCCTCCCAGGTATTTCTCTTCTGGGCCAGCTTGCGGGAGCCCATCACAGGGTCGTAAAACTTCCTGTAGCGCTTCAGTTCGGACTCTAGTTTGTCAATGGGGTCGTTGATGGCGGAGCGGAGTTCGTCGTACTTCTCCCAGTCCTTGGCGGAGTCTGGAACAGGGATACACAAGGGTGAGTTTCCTTTTCTCTTTGTTCAATGTAAAAGATCATGAGGAAGGTACTCACTACAACAGAGTACAAGAGAGCCAGAGTACAAGACCTCCAGGAAGGTACTCAACTACACAAGTAAAAGAGTCCAAGAGTGTCAGAGTATAAATTCATCAGGAAGGTACTCACTACACAACAGAGTACAAGATTACCAGGAAAGTACTTACTATAACAGAGGACAAGAGAACCAGAGTACAAGATCACCAGTAAGGTACTCACTACACAACAGAGTACATGATTACCAGAAAGGTACTCATTACAATAGAGTACAAGAGAGCCAGAGTGCAAGATCACTAGGAAGGTACTCACTACACAACAGAGTACAAGGACTCCAGGAAGGTACTCACTACACAACAGAGTACAAGGACTCCAGGAAGGTACTCACTACACAACAGAGTACAAGATCACCAGGAAGGTACTTACTACAGCAGAGTACAAGATCACCAATAAGGTACTCATTACAACAGAGTACAAGAGAGCCAGAGTACAAGGACTCCAGGAAGGTACTCACTACACAACATGGTGTGCCTGTTCTTGGACTGCTCGTTAGCTTGGTTCCATGTGTTCTCCATCTTCTCGATGAGCTCAGTGAGGAAGGGAGCTTTGTTGGGGTTCTGCAGGATCTTCTTCCCCCTCTTCAGCAGTTCTTCGTAGGTTTCCCTCTGGCCGTCAATGATACCAATCACCTGTAGGAAACGAAGGGGAAGGTTGGAGGTGTTAATTAGCATCTGATGAACGCATGGAGGAAAGATTTGGTAAAGTTTTTGATTGTGAGAAAATGGTGTTGGGGGGGGGGGAGGGGTGTGATAGTTAACCCCTTGAGGATGATGGCTTAGCTCCTTGATCCCTGAGGATGATGGTTTAAGCCTTCGAGGCTGAGGCTTGAACCATTTGAGGAAATTATCTTTAATCATCTTCTTCAAAGGTTTAGTAAGAAGCAAGAGGAACCATAAAGCTAAGTTAGCCTTTTCCCGCACCCAAGTCGTCCTCACTCCCAAACCCTCCCCACTCTTCTCCTTCAGTCCTCTTCACTCATGTTTCAAGGGCGAGCGGAAACAAAACTCAAGGAATAAAGTACAGTCCCCCTTGTAAGGTCCCCCTTCGTACCTTCTCAGCTTTCTCGATCTGCTCTTCGACCATGTTCATGTTATGGGGATGGATCTCCTTGACGGACAGGTGGCGCATCTCTTCGAGGGTCTTCAGGCAAGGGCTGATGTCGTCACCATAGGCGTAGCACCTGGCGTAGATCTCCACCTTGGCTTGAGTCTCTTGCGTGTGAGGCATGAGTTTGTTGTGTCGATCAACGAGAGCCTGAAGCTTCTTCTTCTCGGATGCCTTGAACTCCTTGTCCTTGGAGCTGACGGCTGTCTCGTCAGATACACGCATCGCCACCTTCTCCAGCATCATGTCGAGCCATTCCTTCATGCCCTCCTTCTCCAGGTCACGGCACAAGGACTGTTCAGGGAGAGAACCATTGATATGCTTAGTGAGCTTATATGAGTTAAATTATGCAAGTAACATTGACACACATGAACCAAATTTTCACGAACTGAGAAACTAGAGTGAATCAAACAACTCCTCTTCATCCTTCTCTATACACACACACACACACCTTCCAACATTCTCCATACTCCAATAACATTCTAACATTCTATGCTTCGTCTTGCTCTCCCTGTAGAGTTCTGTGAAGGGGGTGGGGGGTACAGGTCGTGTGGGAGCGGGGATAAAATGTCTTAGGTCGATTTGTGAAGAGAGAAGGTGAAATAACAGGCAATCAACTAAGTTAGGTGTGTCTAGAGTTTGTAGGATAAGGAGATATTTTGGATAGGTCTATGAAATGTTGTGTTGGGGGAGAAGGATATCGTGTGTATGTGTGTGTGTGTGTGTGTGTGTGTGTGCGTGTGTGTGTGCGCGTGCGTGTGTGTGTGTGTGTGTGTGTGTGTGTGTGTGTGTGTGTGTGTGTGTGTGTGTGTGTTATGGTGTTTTTTCTGGCAACATCATCCCCCCTTCTTTCCCTGATTCACACTCTCTCGTTAACTAAAGCCGAAACAACACACAGAGACAAGAAGAAAAAAAAACTTACGAAAAGAAAAGAAAACATCACCTTTTTTCTTTCCTTCTCCGTTGATTCAGAATACGGAATCATAGTGAACAGTAAAGGAAAAATAAACCTCTTATTCAGCCACGCATATAAGGGGGTCACGTAACTACAGAAGAGAGAGAGAGAGAGAGAGAGAGAGAGAGAGAGAGAGAGAGATGTGTTAAGACAGCGAACAAGGTGAAGTAGTCGAAAGAATAAGTTAATTAAAGAACGGTTTAGTCTCGTCTCTCTCTCTCTCTCACACATACACACACACAGACGTTCATCCATACACACATATACATACGTTCATATACACATACAATCACACACACACAAGTTCAGACACACACACACACACACAATCAGACACACACACACACACACACACACACACACGTTCAGACACACACATACAGCCACTCTATTATGAATTCGAAATTGATGCACCACAAATAACAATAATCAAGAGAAAGTTTTTAACAAATAGTCACAATTACTCAACTAATTAATGAGCTGCCATTAACACAATTACCTCCATCAGGGTATTAACTTGCGCTCAACTAATTACGCCACTGATGAATGACTGAAATGACCGCCAAACAGCGCTAATTAACCTTTGACCTTTATAGCAGTAGAGAGATGTGTTGTTTGTGGTGATACTACTACTACTACTACTACTACTACCACTAATAATAATAATAATAATAACAATAATAATAACAATAATAATAATAATAACCCTCTAATCTTTTAATACATATTTCTAAACATTAATAAATATAATAAACTCTTTAGGACAATAATTATGGTAACTACTAAATACTTAAAAAAAATAATTGTTAAGTAAGGTGATGTTTACTGTGATTTAAGTGATTATTTTTAGGGGATGAGGTGACTTTTAAGGGGGAAACTTTTTGGGGGTTACTTTTTAGGGGGTTACTTCTAGAGGACTACTTTCAAGGGGTTACTTTTAAGGGGGGTACTTTTAGGAGGTTACTTTTAAAGGAGTTACTTTTTAGGGGGTTACTTTTAGGGGGTTACTTCTATGGGATTACTTTTAAAGGAGTTACTTTTTAGGGGTAAATTATTTTCTTTTCAATCTTCATTTATTTAGTTTTTTACATAAAGAAAAATGTTAATTTCTTAAGTGTTTCTTGTTAAGACGGAAGCTCTTGTATGTCATTCTTCAACAACACGAAAGACGATCCTTAAGACATTCCTTGTATTCTTCACGTTAAAATTTCCCTTTAGTCATTCTACAAGTCAGTAAAGTAAGTCCCTTGAAGATTTCCTTTATTACCCGGCCTGAAGAATGACTTGCATTTCTCCCCTTCTTATCATTCTTTCGAGAAATTAAAGATAAAAAGTTTTTCCCTTAAGCCGTTCCTCATTCCTCAAGCAGAGAGACATTCCGGCTCCCTCAGGTAACTTCCTATCATTCCTGGAGTAGAGTTGCCTCGGAAGAGCTGTACTTAACGTGTTGGTTTTCTTCTTCAATTCGTGGAAGAACCTGACCGCCCACTTAACCCCTCCCCCTCACATCCTTGAAACACCTATGAGAGAGAGAGAGACAACCAGGTCAAGACGATGGAGAGACAAAATGCCAGAGACTGTGACCGCGAGGACATTCCACAGCACGAGGTCGGGATGTTTGGCTCCTCGTGCCTGGCGTGTCTGCGGCAGCGGTGGCGATAACGGATGCAGCTACTTCGGGAGGCTGGCTGGGGAGCTGGCTGGCTGGCTAGCGGTGCGGGCCTCGTAGTTCCTCCCCTAATACGAATTACTATTTTGGCCAGGCCTGGAGACTCAGGTTACCTGCTGCCGGGGGTGACGGTCAGGTTCTGCGCGCGCTCCTATGCTTCATGTGGCGGTGGTTTTAAGTTTACATATGAACAGTGAGGATGGATCTGGACGTGGATTTAACTGTGGACGTGGATTAAAGAGTGAATGTGAGGTTTGGTTTTAAGTGTGGATGTAAGTATGGCTTTGGTGGGACTGTGTGCGTGGAGTTGGGTGTACTTATGGTTGTATGTACGGACGCGTGAGTGTGTCTAGTCTTCTGTATGTTATGTATATGTATAATCATGTGAATAAAATACTTTGTAAATATATATTTAACATGAATTTACATTTTTCATGGCGTAACTCTGGACGTGTTTGTAAATATGGACTCAAAAGTAAATGTAAACATAACTATGTATATGTATATGTATATATATATATATATATATATATATATATATATATATATATATATATATATATATATATATATATATATATATATATATATATATATATACATATATGTATGATGTAAGTACCTACCTGTTTACACATGCATTTATTTATTGTATACTCATCAATCTATCTATCAAGCTTCATAGGACAGATATAAACTTAATTGATGAAGAGTGCGGGGAGATATGATAGAAGTATTCAAGTGGGTGAAAGGAATCAATAAAGGTGATATAGATAAAGTTCTTATAATATCCGAGCAGGATAGGACTCGGAACAACGGATTCAAGTTGGATAAGTTTAGGTTTAGGAGGGAGATAGGAAGGAACTGGTTTACAAATAGGGTGGTGGACGAGTGGAACAAGCTTAGCAACTTTGTAGTAAGTGCTGGAACGCTGGATAGATTCATGGATGATAGAGAGTGGTAGTAACTCTCGACAGGAGCTGCCATGCACAGGCCAACCGGCCTATTGCAGACTCCTTATGTTCTTATCAATCAATTGTAGTGGTTTATAGTGAGGATTGACTCTGGTAAAGATCTTTTATGTTGATCTGTGGTGAGGGAGTGAGGGAAGGAGAGGGGTGGGGGGAGAGGTAGGGAGGAGAGCAAACGGTGAATATTGGTGAGAATGTTAGAAGAGGAGGAAGAGTGTGATTCCGTGTGTGTAGTGAGGAGGAGGAGAGAGAGAGAGATAAAAAACTAAAGAGAGAGAGAGAGACTACACCACTAGCGATGATCCCAGAAAAAAAAGATCATTTACATAACATCAAAATACAAAGAGGAAACACCAAGAACACAACAGTAACACAACCCGAACATAACCGCCACCGTAAAAGACTCTCCATTACACAAACTTCCTGAGGGAATACCTAATGTTTACAGGAGTTTTTGCTGCCAGAAATATATACAGACTGGCGAGTGGCTGAGTCGTAACTTGCGACACCTGGCAGCTCTACCTCCCCCCACCCTCCTCCCCCTCCTGTCATGTTGCCCTCAGCAGTTCCCGGAATTTACTACCTACTTTACCATTAATATGATAAAAATCTCAAGTTCTTCTTAACAGAATCTAGTAAGATGTGTTTGTTATTCAGTAGGTTAAGAATATTTTGTAATTCTAGTGTGCTGGATCTATACTAGTGTTGGATATGAAAGGATTACAGACTACACGCTTTGAAATGGGTTTACATGATGAGTCAAGATATTGTATTTTTTTTGTAACTTGAAGAGAAAGAAAAAGTGATCTTGTGTATTATGGTCTTAGAGATGTTTTCCCCATGAGTGTGTTTCTGGGAGGCTGCAGGTGAGGGCCTCAGAGCATGTCCTAAAACACTTCTGGCGATGTGGAGTCTTATGAGACTCCTGTTATAAGTCTTAAAATAATAATGGCGTCAGATATCAACATTTTCTTTCTTTCTTTTTTTTCCAGAGTGGGTGAATGTTTTTTCTCCTTGTACATTAGCCTTCGTATACCTATCAACATCCCGTCATCATTCAACATTCTGCTCTCATCCAACATCCTGCCACCAACAACATCCTGCCACCAAAGACATGCTGCCACCAACAACATTCTGCCACCAACAACAACAACAACCTGCCACCAACAACATCCTGCCACCAGCAACATCCTGCCACCAACAACATCCTGCCACCAGCAACATCACCAGCAACATTCCTGCACCACCATCAACAACATCCTGCCACCAACAACATCCTGCCACCAGCAACATCACCACCAACATCCTGCCACCAACAACATCCTGCCACCAACAACATCCTGCCACCAGCAACATCCTGCCACCACCAACAACATCCTGCCACCAGCAACATCCTGCCACCAACAACATCCTGCCACCAACAACATCCTGCACCAGCAACATCCTGCCACCAGCAACATCCTGCCACCAACAACATCCTGCCACAGCAGCGCCACAACATCCTGCCACCAACAACCATCCTGCCACCAGCAACATCCTGCCCCAACAACATCCTGCCACCAACAACATCCTGCCACCAGCAACATCCTGCCACCAGCAACATCCTGCCACCAACAACATCCTGCCACCAGCAACATCCTGCACCACATCCTGCCACCAGCAACATCCTGCCACCAGCAACATCACTCCTGCCACCAGCAAATAACAACATCCTGCCACCAGCCACCAGCAAATCTGCCACCAGCAGCATCCTGCCACCAGCAACATCCTGCCACCAACAACATCCTACCACCACCCAACATCCTGCCACCAACAACATCCTACCACCACCCAACATCCTGCCACCAGCAACATCCTGCCACCAATAACACACCTTAGAATAAACATAAACTCATTACATACATTCAATCATTCACAATTCCCCCCAAAAAGATGTTTTTTAATGTATAATTATGAATAAACATATTTCTGAATACCTACAAAGATACTGTAACTGTTAGAGAGCTTCATTAACTTCAAGCATTATCAGAGAGAGATTTATAACCTTCATTAATTATTTCTTTAACTTCCAGTATCATAGTGGGAGAGAGAGAGAGACAAAACAATAGTCTGTAAGCAACAAAAACAATAGTCTGTCAGGTAAACTACAGCAACAAAAAAAACCCTCCTGTAAGCCAGGTGATGAAAACAATTGTGTGATAGTCTATTATTACACTCCCGCACCTTCGCCTGCCTGTAGCCGCTTCGCTCCTCCAGCTTACCTGTATATCACGTTTCTCGAGCTATTTTCGACTATTTCCCCCGCCCAGAAGTTTTCCTATGTTATTTCTGAGTTTATTTCCCTGTGTTATTTCTGAGTTTATTTCCCTGTGTTATTTCTGGTTTTATTTCCCAGGCCTTAAGTTTTCCTACGCTAATATATGCGGATGTTTTGAATAATAAATTTTTCCCTAGATTCAAGTTTGTTAAAGTTAGTTTTAGGTTAATTTATGGGTTTAAGTCGCCTCCCAAGTTCTGTTTTTTAAGGTATAAAATGTCTCGAGTCATTTAGGTTCTGATTTAGGGTTCTAGGTCTTAGGTTCTCCAGTAAGGTGATCATTCTTGTTACTCACAGCACAAGATGATGTCATTGATCATCATTCTTGTTACAGCACAAAAGGATGTCACTGGTCATCACTCTTGTTACAGCACAAAAGGATGTCACTAGTTATTCATAAAGTATTTTGTCGTAATTCTAAAGTTCCATCTCTTATCAAGGATCGAATTCCAAACCCACGAACAACTATGTCTCTCACACCATCCTTCCCTGGGTGTTACGTCAGTGTAGTGGTGCTCAGTTCTCAGTAGACATTCTTTAAACACCAGTAACCCCCCGTGGCTGCTTCAGGAGTGAGGTGGCATTAAGGTATTGTATCCGAGGTTTAGAATTGGCACGGTGCTTCAGTTGGGACGTGTGTGTGTGTGTGTGTGAAGAAGACCATTATAGTGTGTTTATGTACGTGAAGAAGACGTTCATTGTGGCTGTGTATGTAAATGAGACTCTTGTGTTGTCTGTGTATGTCATTAAAGACGTTTACAGTGTGTCTATGGACCTAAACATCGGTGTAATGTTAACTATGAGTCACTGACAGGACGCCGAATACCGTAAGGATGGCATTTGTCTCCTCCTCTGTTACTCCTTAGAGACTCCGACGTGAAGGGCGTATGGGTAAATGTTTGTTGTCGTGGGGCTAAGGGGCTGTGCTTGTATGAGAGAGAGAGAGAGTCCAGCAAAAGAACACCTCACTCGTCCTTCCAGCAGCTAAACACCACTACATCAAGGGACACACACATATATTAACCTAAGAGTAAACAGGCCCTGTCCTAACGCTTGAGTAACACCTTTCATCAATGAGTGACACACATGCCAGGAGGTACTGCGTGACCAATGAGTGACGTGGCATAACACACTCAGTACCTCCCTGCGAAAAAGAAAGTGTTTATACAAGTTGGTAGTGTTGGTATCGTGTCCCGCCAAAGGTAAAGTCATGTATCGCTAGGGGAGGTCTTTTATTTTTTTCTCCTATAATATCCCTTCATATATGTTGCAGTAACCCCGAGGCCTAGCAGGTATAGGTAGGCTGTTATTCCAGGTAAGGTGATGGTGTCATATCCCAAGAGGCTCTAATAATGGTGTGTTTCTTTTATCAATACTAAATAATAAGGTGGATTCTTGCTTAACAATGTGGTAGTTAGAGATACATAACATTAATTCTGTTTGTTGGTCATGAATGGTATTGGGGTCATGTTCAACACCTTCTATGAACTTAAGACTGGCTAAGTCACTTTACTCTTCCTCTGTAATGTTCAGACGATCATTGTAACTTAATATCATATTCCCGGAAACGATAACTTTTATTATAATCCCAACATTTATGATTTTATTAATGAAAAAACAAAACAAAAGCAAACACTGGATTATTTGTGGCTTTACTGGTGAAAAATATTAGCGTGTGTAAACCAATTTTTGTGAGGCAGCTTATAAAACATCCATTCTATTGCTCAATAATATTTTCTGGTTGAGTATAAAAGCTTTCAGTGGGATAATCAACAGCTATACATATACAGCACATATACATATACAGTACATATACATATACAGTACATATACATATACATATACATATACATATACATATACATATACATACTATCTCTACCATATTCACTACCTTTGATAAAACCCAGGAAATATTTTCATGTATTTATCACCCCTTGAGGACAATGACTTAACCCCTTGAAGACAATGACTTAACCCCTTGAGGACAATGACTTAACCCCTTGAAGACAATGACTTAACCCCTTGAGGACAATGACTTAACCCCTTGAAGACAATGACTTAACCCCTTGAAGACAATGACTTAACCCCTTGAGGACAATGACTTAACCCCTTGAGGACAATGACTTAACCCCTTGAAGACAATGACTTAACCCCTTGAGGACAATGACTTAACCCCTTGAGGACAATAACTTAACCCCTTGAAGACAATGACTTAACCCCTTGAAGACAATGACTTAACCCCTTGAGGACAATAACTTAACTCCTTGAAGACAATGATTTAACCCCTTGAGGACAATGACTTAACCCCTTGAGGGCAATGACTTAACCCCTTGAGGACAATAACTTAACCCCTTGAGGACAATAACTTAACTCCTTGAGGACAATAACTTGAGGACAATGAGGACAATGACTTAACCCCTTGAGGACAATGACTTAACTCCTTGAGGACAATAACTTAACCCCTTGAGGACAATAACTTAACTCCTTGAGGACAATAACTTAACCCCTTGAGGACAATAACTTAACCCCTTGAGGACAATAACTTAACTCCTTGAGGACAATAACTTAACCCCTTGAGGACAATAACTTAACTCCTTGAGGACAATAACTTAACCCCTTGAGGACAATAACTTAACTCCTTGAGGACAATAACTTAACCCCTTGAGGACAATAACTTAACCCCTTGAGGACAATAACTTAACCCCTTGAGGACAATAACTTAACTCCTTGAGGACAATAACTTAACCCCTTGAGGACAATAACTTAACTCCTTGAGATAAAGTCGTTGAATTCACTGGATTAATTAACTGACCTATAAGACTTAGTTAACTGACCTATAAGACCTAGTTAATTGACCCATAAGACCTAGTTAATGGTAATAGGTTGGACTAGTTGATCTTATATAAAAGAATTAGCTGCTAGATGTGAACTGGGAATGATTTTGATATGAAAGGAAGAGATACTCGTAAAGAACGTGTAAGAAATCCACATAATAACTCGGTAATGTTTCACTTGTTTCATACATGTTGTGAACGATGACATCACTCCATCTTATTACCTTCTATCCTATGTTGCTAATTATTCATTCATTCATCTATTTTAGTTCAGTTTTCCATAATATCTGGATCACTTTCTTTTCTGTAATTTTTTTTTTGAGTTCACACATAAACTTCACATCCACAATCTTCTTCAGTGTAAATCCATCTGTAGTCGAGAATCCATGGGTAAGTGGACACGTACTGTGCAATAAATCCATAGGCGAACAAAATGTACATTGAACCATTCTATAGGCGTCTGGAGTGTTCACGAAAATCCACAGGCGGTCCAAATGCACATTAAAATCCACAGGTTGACGAAACGAACTTAACAATCCACAGACGTTCGAAATGTGACAGAGGTTTTAACTTCAGTATATCCATAACTGAGCCGCGCGGTGTGTCCAGCGAGCAGCGATACAGGGTCTTAGTCTCTCTCATCCTGGAAGGAGAAGGGACAGAGGGTGATGACGTAAGGGGGAGAGAAAAACACGAATTAGACTTCTCAGACTATTTCTCATACTCACAGCCAAACTGTCTTGGATGTTCTTAAACTCCTTGTAGGTGTACTGGACGTTGGGCGCCATCACCTTGGACACGATGCCCTCCAGGTTGTCCATCCATTCTTGGTACTTCTGAAGACGGAAATCATACACGTCCTTCACGAAGCCGTAGTTCTCCTGCCAGAACGTCATCTTGACTGTAGATTTACGTGCGCAATCGACAGTTTAAATTCCGTTAGCTCAGGAGTAGTTAGTTATGTCGAGGGTCGGAGGCGAGGGCGGTGGGCCGGAGCAGTGAGGCGCACGTCCACGAGCCTGGCTGGGAGAGGGACCACAGGCAACAGATTGTTCCCGGAGCCGCTAGGCAGACTGAGACAACTTCCCCAGCACTCTGCCCTCCCGCCGGGTAAAATTAGAATCCCCCTCGTACAAGTTAGGACAAAGAATGCAGACAAAACCGTCTTTCTGCCCCAAATTTTAAGGGGGGAGGGTTTGGGGGGGAGCCTCTCCACCTCCGTCCCTCCCGCCAACGGCCAGGATCTCCAATTGGCAAATAGAGAGAGCAGTGGAAGGGGCGGAGCCTAGTGGTGGGGGACCCCAAATTGACGGTGTCCTGCCCCAGCTCCTGTTACCTTCCGACCTTCCTCAGTTATGAATGAACATGTGTGTACGTTGTGTGCTGAGGCTCACTACCTGTGCAGGAGACACTCGTCCTCCTCTTCTGTGCCGCCATATACAATTATACAGTACTAAACAACGGCCTGAGCTTGTGTCGCCCCTGGGAGCCTCTGTGTTGAGGGAAGGAGGAGTTGTTTATGGATTCTGGAACATACTAAGAGTTCCTCCTGGAGGCGTGGTGGGGCGGGAGGTACACAAGGACCACCTCCCTCTAGATGATGACAGTGCCGGGGGATGAAGAGATGGCCCAGGTGTTACTGCAGTCAACCTATAATGCATATACTTTGTCTCCCAGAGTGTTGTATAATGACACACATGCTCGTATGATGTGTGTGTGTGTGTGTGCATGTTCACATATTTGTATGCGTGCATTTAACTGTTTTATCGGGTTTGAAGTGTGTGAGTAAGTGTATGTAATAAAAAATGCAGAGAAGAGAGAGAGAGAGAGAGAGAGAGAGAGAGAGAGAGAGAGAGAGCAGTACTTAGTGGCAGCTGGGATGAACATCTTGGCGGAGGTGTTGTGGTGGTGGCTGGTGTGTATGTCGCTCTGCCACACCCTTATAGGTCCACGACACCCTCCTCCTACACCTCTCACCACACACACACTTATATGTACACACTCTCCTACACTTTAACATGTAAGTACACACCCACCTACACCTCACTCTACACAAACTTATAAACACACATCATCTTTCACTTTACACTATACTACACACCCCCCCACCACCACACACGCACTACATATACCACTGCTTCACTACACCTCCATCGTAATACCACACTACCAAATACAACACCATAAAAACACCACACCGCCACACCTTTCACCATACCACACTGCCATACTCTCAGCCACACTATACTCTCAGCCACACCACATCACTACACCCTTCACCATACTACACCACACTGCACTACACCACACTAAACCGATACATTCTCAACCAAACCACACCACACCACCACACCCTCCAAATCTAAGACACCGCAACTCCCTCCTACCACACCACAGCGACACATCCTCCTACCACTCCACACCGCCACATCCTCCTACCACACCACACCGCCACATCCTCATACCACACTACACCACGCCTTCCTACCACACTACCTCACACAAGCTAAACACTGCTGACTGGGGACTCTGTAATGACTGTGGTGGGGTTAACTCTACCTCCTTGGGTTAATTACACCGTCTTCACCTTAACAACGGCTCAAGGCTCAAGCAGCTTCATGGTGTGTTAACGAAGCGGGAATAGAGGGAAGCAGGTGATAAATCGGGAGAAAAAGAAGAAAATAAAGGAAAGAGGGAAGGAAAAAGGTGATAAATTGGGATAAAAGAAGAAATAGGTGATAAATTTGAAGAAAAAGAAGAAAATAAAGGAAATAGGGAAGAAAAGGTGATAAATTGGGAGAAAAAGATGGATAAAGAAGTAAAATAGGGAAAAGAGAGAAGAAAAGTGATAAATTGGAATGACTAAATAGAGAACAAAAGAGGGAGAGTAGTCACGGTCACACGATTAACACAACTACGCTGATTGCCTCCAAAAGTACATTCTTACGCCATCTGTTGACAAAAAAATGAACTAACCAAATATTTAGCCAATCACACATCAGAGCGGGAGTATTTGACCAATAGGAGAGCAGCTTAGTCCATGCCAGGCTGCATGGTTGTTGTGTGTCGGTAGTTTGACTTGTATTATAATGTTGTCGCTTTGGAAGGCCATAGTAAACCCCCTTTTATATGACACACACACACAGGGGCGCAGGTGTGATCATGAAATTCTGACGTATATAATTTATGACATCTGACCTAATAACTTATTCCTTTGGGCATAAAATTGACACCACTGAATTAGGTTAAGTTTGGTTAGATTAGGTTAGGTTAGGTTAGTCATCCGTGTTGTATGTATTCATAATCCTGTAAGTAAGGATGACCAGATCACGCGTGGTGTATACACAAGCCACCAACATTCTTCACATTCAATCATCTTGTACCGTAAACACATTAATTTATCATTTACTTGTGACTAAAATATTAAAGAAAAAAACATTAAATTTTCTCCCCAAATATCTATACTTCAATGACATACAATAATAATAATAATAATATTTTAATTTAGCGGTTGTGTCCGGCCTGTGTGTGATAATCGTCTAATAACACGACCAACGCTTCTACGGCAAGGGAAGCGTAATACAACCACTGTATACTAAGCCTTCAACACACCAAGAGTTCGGCACTGTACTTGATCGCCTTCACTTCCTCATCTGTAAAGCCAGGTTCAGGGGGTGACCTAGATATGAACCAGCGATTCTTTGGAGAGGCTGCGAGTGTTGCATCCAATTAGCAACCACATCCCTTCATTATAAAACTAGGATTATATATACAATAATAATTATCAGTACTTCTAATATAATCCTGGTTTTAATATTATACAAGACGTGACCTATAACTCCTGTACGAGACGATACCTTCACTGTTACTCCTACTCATGGACGCCAGGAGATATTTTCACCAGAGAGACACACACAACACGACGCTGAGGGAGGCCTAAAGGTGTGAGCAACCTGCAGTAATACGGCGCCTTAAGTCAAAGTCACGTGGCAGGGGACAAACAACTGTCAGGTGTCAAGCCAGCGTGACACTTGTGGATGACATGGTGGTGGATGTCACTGCTTGATACGACGACCACAACAACATGTGACAGTCGAGTAGTGACGAGAGAGAGAGAGAGAGAGAGAGAGAGAGAGAGAGAGAGAGAGAGGGTCACACATCTTATCCACTAGACACTCACACGTAAACAATACCCGTGAGCTATACCATTCCTCCCACAATGAATTATTAAAATGAACTTCCTCCGCCAACTGCCAAGATGGAGAGGAAGAGTGAGAAATAACACAGCCTGAATAGCTCCCTGACACACACACACACACACACACACACACACACACACACACACACACACACACACACACACACACACACACACACACACACACACACACACACACACACACATCATTCTAAGGCCATATTAATTACCCTTGAATATAATCATGAACATAACCACGACAAAATATAGCATTTTACCCACTTGTTATGATGTAATACAATAACAGGCTAACAGGTAATTCATAATAGGTAATACTTACCTTTATGTATTACTAGATATGATTAAATAACACCTTGATAATATTTTACAGGTAACATCTACATATCATCACTCTTATATCATCATGACTACATAAAACTACATAATAACTAACAGTGTTTATGTAGAGCCAATTTAAACTAAAATACAAATGAAAATTATGTTCTATAAATCTCTGAGGAAGTGTACGGTAGTGGCTGACTTAAGTTACCTTGATACTTACGACGAAAAAATAACGAAAAATAACCATTAACTCAATTACAACTTAACACACATTCTTAACAGCCCAACAATCACGGTAATCAAATAACACCGAAGGGCGTCAAGAACTCTTACTTCCAGAAGGTATTGTAACACATTCCAGGACATGTTTTACATCTAACTCACATCCGACCCACCAACCCACCACTACCCACCCATCCCTCAACTCACCCACTCATCCACCCGCCCGCCCACCCACCAACCTACCTACACTGACTTGCCGCCTCTGGTCGATTCTTGGCGTGACTTGAAGGTATTCGTCACCAGGTTTGTTTATGTTCTGTTGATTATGTAATTTCTGGTTTAAAATCCTCATTGTAGTCAGGTGAGGGCAAGGTCAGGTCACTTGGAGGTTATGTAAGGGGAAATTATACCACTTCTGCCATGTAAAAGGTCAGGTCACTTGGAGGTCAATTCCCATTTTAAAAGTTTCATTCACTATCTGGACTTCAACATAAACAATGCCCACTATTCAATAATTCCTTCGTCATTATTCTACAAGATTTATCCAGCAAAAACACCTCACCATCTGTGCATCTCACGCAGTAACTCACGATCTTCATATATAATGTCATTTCAGCAAAGATATTTTATTACGTTACATATGGATTTCAATTCAATAATGTACTACTTTACTAAGACGGTGTCGTATCTGTAGCCACTTTTACAACACATAAAGACAGGTTCTCCGGTAGTGTTTCTTGCTACACACAGACCTACATCACTGAGAGAACTCCAAGAATGTCATATAACCATCGACTCAGCTTCGACCCTTGTGATAAGAATGTGTGACTCTACAGATGAAATATGTCTACACTGTTTCACTCATTTGTCTTTTTTTTTTTTCTGTAATAAATATTGAAAATAACTCTTGTGTGTGTGTGTTGTGTTCGAGACGTGAGTAGAGGTAATGGTGATGGGTGGTTTACTTGATATGTTGTATGTATATATGTTAGTATTATCAAAGGAATGTCTAACTTTTGTCTGTGTTTGTATTTAAAACTTGTATGTGTGTATGTATGTATGTGTGTGTGTGCGTATGTGTATATAGTGTACTGTATATAATAAACATGTACAGTGAACAAGTATACTTATGTCCCCATATATATCACATACATACGCTTCATTATACATACACACTAAGACTCACGTTCACATTCATCATCATTATCATACAAACCTACAGAGAAAAAATCAAAATAAAATCAAAATAAAAGAGAGCTATTTTATTCTCCTCTATCTGGTGTTTACTTTTTCCGTGTTCATTTAAAAACCGAGAATACA